TGGCTGAGGACAAACGAGAGGCTGTCCCTTCCCCCAAAATCCTTTCCCTCATTTAGCTTTGTCTCAATTTGCCTCAGCTTCACAACTCAACTCTGAGCAGTTCACCCCAAAAAGAAACTCAGAGGATCTTTGCAGACCTTACCAGAGTCTGAGGAAGTGAGCTGTAGTTTTCAAACCTTTTTCATCACATCTGTTAGTCGGAAGGTGGTTAGGTGTGTGGGAAGTCAGCTCCCTAGAGAAGGAAATATTAAAAGGGCAGAAAAATATATTTCCTCAAAAGGATTTTAAAAGCAGAAACCAAGCCTGCCCCCAAGTCTCTCTGTCTCAAGCAAAAGCCAGCTCTGTACAAATGCAGATGTAAACCATCAGGAAAGTTAGAGCTAGAAGCTTAGGAAGACAAAGACACCTAAAATCTGCATACCCACCCAAATTCTAAGAGTCATTAGCCCCAGCACCAGGGAAGCAGGATCTAACCGTTGGGACATAATAGGATTAACCCACCACAATCAAGAATACCAGAAAGGCACACCCAGACTCAAGTCAGAATATGTGACACAGAAAATACAAAGCCTAAAACAGGAACAGGAAACTACTCCAAACAAAAGGCTTCAGAGGGTATAAAAACCCACTCCCCACATGTGCTCAGCCCTTTTTCTCTCCCTTTTTCTGCCAGAGCCATCTTTCTGTCTGGCTCTTCAATAAACTGCAACCTTCTTTCTAAAGCAGTCACCATGATGTTTATCCCCAGCTTGGATGAACCAGGATGAAGACTTTTCCTTCAACAGGTGGTTCCAGATTCCTTCAGATTTCTGGCTGCCAAAGACTTAACACAGGTCTCTTCCCGCAATGCCAAAGGAGAAGAGATCCCGCTAAGAATAAAAGATTTTTCTTCCCAATCTAGATGAAAATTCTCCTGCACAATTCTCTCCCTTCATATTCAGTTTGGCAGACGTGTAGAAGAATTTCCCAAAGGACTGGGGTTTGAGACATAGCTTGGATTTCTCTCTCACCTTGTTCCTTAATTAGTAACTAAAAGATCATATTTTTTTAAAAATAACTTCTTGGATGAAATACTCAGGGCCCCTGGGATTTTTAACCTGATAGACTTATTAAAAAAGAAGAAGCAATCTGCAATATTTTACTTCTTTTGCTGTTTCGTGGTCCTGTTCAGTCTAAGGTACAGGCAGTCCTTGACTTATAACAGTTAGTTTAGTGACCGTTCAAAGTTACTATGGCCCTGAAAAAAGTGTTTTATGATTGTTTTTCACATGACCGTTGCAGCATCCCCCCATGGTCACATGATCAAAATTCAAACAGTTGGGCAACTGAGTCATATTTATGACGCTTGCAGTGTCCTGGGGCCAGGTGAATCCCTTTTGCAACCAAGCAAAGTTAATGAGGAAGTCAGATTCTCATTAACAACTGCAGAGGCAGGACAGGTCGTAAAATGGGGCAAAACTCACTTAACAAATGTCTCCCTTAGCAACAGAAACTGGGCTGTAAGTTGAGCAGTGCCTCTATTAACTCCAAACGGTTCTATCAACAGATAACACCTTATGTCAACAAGATTCATAAGAGAAAAATGCCGTCTTGATCCAAAGTTTGCATTTTTGTCTACAAATATATGAGTAATGCTGCTGCAATGGACCTTTTGAAAAGAAGGGAGAAGGAAGCAAAACCTCAAGAAACCATCAGCAAAGTGGCTGCAGCAAGGCCACTGGCCACAACAGCCGAGTTCAGTTTTAAGACTGAGTTCCCGCTTACTGTGTACGAGAACTGAAAGGCACAAGAGCACTTAAGTATGGGGGGGGGGGGAATCTTCAAGACTAACATCCATTCAAAGAGCCTATCTCAATTAATTTCTCCAAGTAGTGGTTCAACCAATATCTGAGTGGACACTATGGAAATTAGAACATATAAACTTTCAAATGGCAGCAGAGCAACGCTGCAAATGTCTTTCGCTGGACTATTTGATTGAATTCAATGTGAAGGATCCCCTGGTTCAGTGTTTGATGTAACCTCATAAAATCTGTTTTCTGACATCTCCTGAACAGAAAACCTAATGTTTTAGTTTTATTCTTATCTGTTGGAGCCAGGGGGAAGAATCAAGTAGGGAACTAGTCTAAGGTGCTTATGTAGGCACAAGAAGGTGAAATATGGCCCCTCTTGAATGCCATTGAACCTTATCTAGTCTTTCCCAGGTGCACTTTGAGAAGATTTCTGTGTTTGGGCATGAGCAATAAATCAGCTAATTGAATTCTTTATGTGTAAATCTGGTTATTCACACCTGACAATATTTAATTTATCTTGCTTACATTAGAAGGCATATAGACCAGGGCTTTTTAACCAGTGGTACGGGTACCACCTGTGGTACATTGACACCTGGCAGGTGGTATGCGACCATCCTAGAAAAGTGGTAGTGGGAGAGGGGAATGAGCTGAACCGGTGGCAGCACCGCACAAGCCTGAGCGAGAGATGGCTGGAGCTGCAGGGCTGTCAGGGCTCAGTGGAAGCGCCAGGATCAGCGCCAGGCTCCAGCTGGAGCTCGGCGCTGATCCTGGCGCTTCTGCTGAGCCCAGAAGAAGTGCCAATCAGCTGGAATGTTGCAGCGTCTCCAGGGTCTTATAATTTACATTCAGATGCTTGGCAACTGATTCATATTTATGACGGTCCCAGTGTCATGTGAAGTGACCAAAATCTACTGCAACCATCCAGCAGATGGATGGAATAAAAACCGCACCTCCGCTGCCAATCCTTAACAGAAATGCTCACAACAATGAAAACCTCGGACAGGAGGAAGAGCGCCGCCAGGCGGGCAGGCAGGTGTCTTGCTCGGCTGTGGCTTGGGGGGCACTTTTTTCAGTACCATTGTAACTTCGAACAGTCACTAAGCAAACTGTTTTAAGTCGAGGATTACCTGTACTTTATCACTTTTTTCCTTTTTTGGGGGGTCATCAAGTTTTTGACACCTTGCTAGGCGACTGGTGGTACTCAGATGTTGCCATATCCTAAAAGTGGTACAATGGGTGAAAAGGTTGAAAAGCCCTGATATAGACTATCCTTTCATATGGGTTTTGTATCATTCTAACTGTCATGAGTTCTTCCAAAACTTCATGGGATTAACAATTGTGGGGGGGAAAGAGTTGTGCTTGATTCAAAACATGGTTTGATTTTTACCTGTTCCAAGAAGTCAAATAAATGCATTTTAATGTTAGGTAGACCTTTGCTGTGTGCCAAATTTGATTTTACTGGGGAGATTGATCAGGGGAGTTTTGTTCCGGTGTGTTTTATTTATTTATTTATTTATTGCAAACTAATTTCAGGACTATTTATTGGAAAGGCAGGACATAAATCCAATAAATAAATAATCTGCCTTTTAATATTTTTTTTCGAGGGTCAATTATGTCTAGCAGGCCTCCTCTTCCATGTGTCTTCAAAGCTTGTGGCTGTTTAGATTTACCTTCCTCTCCGTCTTTAATCTTAGGCAGGCATAGAAAAAAAAAGTGTTTCCTTTCCTTTCAAGCCTGCTGCTTGTTATCTTGGGTTTAATTTTTCAAAATAAGCCTCTTCAAAGATTTCTGGATGACTCTTGGGGTACTGGGGTGGGGAGGTGTAAAAGAAACGTCTCTAAATCTCACTGCCCTTCTCTGGACTCTGCTGTGTGTAAAAAAAACAGTCCCTTCCCTTTTTCTTTTAAGGGTGATTTTCACAGTGCTTTCTTGGAAAAGATCCAAAATACCTACTTGTGTGTTCATGGGGTTCATTACTTAGATGATGTGATAGTTCATTTATCAGAGAGGATTTTCAATCCATGGATTTACAGTATTTTAACTCTGCTGACCAGGAAACAAGGAACATATTAGAACATATATAGCATGAAAAGGCTCTTCTATGTCAGTGGTGACCTTCCATCTGTCTGGACATTTGGCTCAAGATCCTAGGTCAGGGGCAACTTTGGCTCTTTTATGACTCGTGGACTTCAATTCCCAGAATTCCTGAGCCAGCCATGCTGGCTCAAGAATTCTGAGAGTTGAAGTCCACGATTCATAAAAGAGCCAAGGTTGTCTATCCCTGTCCTAGGTCATTGTAAATAGAGTTAAATTCTAAGTTTCAGATTTAAGTTTTAAATCCTCTCAATACTATCCAATGAAAGTTGAATAATAATAATGATAATAATAACAATAACAACAACAATAATAATAGAATGACTATGGCAAAGGCAAGCAAGGATAGTATCAATAGTCATAGGCACCTTGGACGCAATCCCAAAACAACTGGAGCACCACTTGAACACCATTGTTATTGACAAATTCACCATTAGTCAATTGCAAAAGGCGGTCTTACTAGGAACTGCTTCCATCCTGCGACGATATCTGTAATACCATCAAACATCCACATCTGCCTATCCCAGCTCCTTGGTAAGGACTCGATAGGTTGACAAAAATGCCAAATCCAGTCTGAACATCTGGCTGACTGTGAGATGATCAGTAATAATTATATTATAATTTATTATTACATAATTATATATTATAATAACAATGGCAGCAGCCCTGTTTGCCGAATACATCAAATGGGTAGAAGATTCATTCAGGCTCTTCCTGAGGTTCCAGGAAGATAAGGATAATTACAGTGATACACAGTGGTACCAGATACCTTGGTATTCATCCTTAATTGCTTCCAGGAGGTGCAATGAGTACCAAAAATGATGAGTATCAAATGAATTTTTCCCATAAGGAATAATGTAGTGGGTCACAAGGCAGCCAATACTGACAAATTCTAGCTTGTGTGTTGAGTGCCAAACAAACAATGAGTACTAAGACAAAATTTTCACGTCAAAATGCATTATCAAATTTGTTGAGTTTCAAAGCAGTTGAGTACCAAGTACTGTATCACTGTATAGAGCATACCTGGAAAAAAAAAACAATTGTTGGTCAGACCTCTGGAGCAATGAGCGTTCCTATTATTTTCTATAACGGTCCCTTCTTTATTCTTTCGCTTAGATCTGAAAGGAGTAGTTTCAGCCAAGAATGATATCCGAGTTGAGATTGTTCACAAGGAGTCTGCCTCCAGCAGAGAAAGTGAAGAACACCCAGCAATCAAGCAGTTAATGGTAAGGATTCATTCTGGCTTCCCTTAATCCATTCAGCTGTCCCTCCCTCATAACAATAATGAGTGCGGACATATGTTTTTTAGTGTGGGAAAGCCTATGACAGGAAGGTATGCCGTTTCAAAATTTAACACATTGCTCAGAGCTGTTAAAATCACAGAGTGCAGCTGTATTAATGCAGACAAGACAAAGAGGAGAGATTGACTACTGCTGTCGGCAAATAGCCTGCGGACTCTGATGAAAAGTAAGGTTTCCTATTCCTTGATGGAGAAGTTGACATGACCACCAGTGGACCCAAAGGATGTTAAGCAGTGCATTACCATCACTCCGTCATCTATTTAAGCATAAACAACTAAGATGCATGTTCAGTTACAAGATGGATACACCAAGTCTTTCAACAGGGGAAGCTTGTTGGTTACCTCATTACTGTCAAATCAAGCATAGTTGGGTGACCTGAAATTACACGCCATTCCAACTATCTCTCAGAGATGATTCAGGATGATTGGATGCCTGGGGCTACATCTAAATGTTATCTCCCATAGCAGTAAAAATAAAATATTAAACAAAATATGCTGCTAATCGAAATGGACAATTCACCTTGAGTTACAGTTCAACAATTTTGCTACCTCTTTGCAGTGTGAAACATCACATGCTGAGGTCATGTGAGGCCACCAGTGGCCTCCCCAAACCCCCCCAAAAGTGTTTTTTGTTGTTGTTCAGTCACTAAGTCATGTCCAACTCTTTGCAACCCCATGGCCCATAACATGCCAGGTCTCTCCTATCTTCCACTATCTCCCAGAGTTTGTCCAAATTCATGTTCATTGTATCAAGGACACTGTCTCTAACCATCTCATTCTCTGCTGTCTCCTTTCTCCTTTTGCCTTCCATCTTTCCCAACATCAGGGTCTTTTTCCAGTGAGTCTTCTCTTCTCATTTGGTGGCCAAAGTATTTGAGTTTCCGCTTCCAAAAAGTGTTACAGTACCAAACCGTAATTTTTAGAGCATCCAGAGAGGGAAAATACTTTATGCACAACTGGAGAGTATGAAAATTACTCTGCTTTAATTGAAGTCACATTTTCCTTATGACCCTTGCTCCTTAAAATGTAGCTCCCAGCTTGCTTTTCCATAGCTAATTTCAACCCTTTGGCCCCAAAGACACTGTCCTATTATAAAGATTGGTAAACGTAGACTAGGTCATAGGGAGAGTTGACTCATCCAAGGAGTTTGCTATTCAGTCTTCATACTGCTGAGTACATCAAATAGCTAATCTGCCATGAGGAGAATGAGGAACTCTCCATTGTTTAGCATTCTCTCTCCATTGGACCACCAAATTCTGAATTGTCCTTTGTTTTATTTTTGAAACTCTCAGTAAGAACAAGAATCACACAGTTGGATTTTGTGCAGGCTTCTCAAAGTTAAAATCCGAATGGATACCGATACCAAGCTTACTTGGCCCTGAGTTTAAATAGCCAAGTTAAATTTTCATAGAATAGCTTATCTTATTACTGTAGTGTTCTATATACTCCTTTATTAATTCTTGTGCAATACATTCCCAATTTACTACCTTTCAATCTGAGCTCAACTACACATTTAAATTTAAATAGTTTTTTTAAAAAATTTATAACTCTCCCATAATGCGAGGAGGGAGCATGCGTTTTGCATATAGAAGGTTCTCAGTCCAGTCTTCATCTCCTTCACCTATTGTAACTACTACCAGAAGGGACAACTCAAAGAAAAATGAAGCCACGGTCTGATCTGATAATAAACTGGTTTCCATTCTCCCATTTATCAAGGCTGATGAAGCTATGGGTCTTCCTTTTCCTCCTTCCTCTTCCAAAATATCCAGTTATCCCAAAGATTGTCTGTTTATTTGTTAAATTTCTACACTGTCCATCTTACCTAAGTGAATCTGGGTGGTTTACAACAATATGCACATTGTTATATCTTAAATCAGTTTTTTTACATTAAGACAGCAGCATCTAAAAATCAGACACAAAGATCCAACAGCTTCCCAAAGCCCTTTTTAGTTCCATTTGATGCTAGCCAGGAACATTCCTTTTGCCTGGGAATAAAATGAGCATATCAAGCTATAGAGAGTGTCAGTGGGAAAAAGCCAGGGGCAATATCTTCAAATCAAATCAGAACAGCTTGGAGGTCTTCTAGTCCAATCCCCCCCCCCCAAGCAGGAGACCCTACACTATTTCAGATAAGTGGCTGTCCAATCTCTTCTTAAAAACCTCCACTCTAGCTTCTGAAGGCAAGCTGTTCCAGTGCTTAATTGTTCTCACTGTCAGGAAGTTTCTCCTTAATCCCAGGTTGCTTCTCTCTTGATTAGTTTCCATCCATTGTTTCCTGGCTTGCCTTCTGGTGCTTTGGAAAATAAGCTGACCCGACAATAGTTTGTCTAACATCCCAGAGGGGTCCCAGTCTGTACTTTCTAGCATGCTTAGCAAAATAAGTAGTTCATTCCCACTTAGTGCCATCTCTCTCTCTCTCTCTCTCTCTCTCTCTCTCTCTCTCTCTCTTCAATCCTTGCTCCCGGCAGGAGCAACTAATGAAGACTTCCCTTCTCATGATTAAAAAGCCTCTGTATCTTTCCTCCTCATTGCTTGCAACACTAGGCATATGATCCTACCTCCTAGCAATAACAGGTCCAGCCTGGGCACATTCAAATTACATCCTAATAAGAATTATTAGGCAGAAATTTGTCAATGAGCTGACAGATTTGGATCCAACTTCATTAACATATGAGATACAATGAATCATTGGCAGGACTGCAAACAGCCCTGAGAGCCTGATGGAAATCAACCAGCCTGCTGTGCAAAGAGCAAAGGAATCTGGAGATGTGGCAGAAACCAACTGCTGTCCTATCCCCTCGGTCTAACTCCATGTTGAGTCTTCCTTCTTGGACTTCTGCCAAATTTCCACATCAGCCACCTGTCAAAAGTTGGCAACTTAAGATGTTTAAAAATGAGCTTCTCCATCATGCCAGCAATCATTGCTATGTTCAGCGGGCAAGTTGCTGTGTGTGTGGTGGGGTATGCGAGTGTGGAAGGAATACAGGCTTTGCAGAACAAATCTCTGAGCAAATGGAAGGAGGGAAGACCTTCTGTGCTGCTTTCCCATGCATTCCCCCCCTGTAGTAAAATGTGTAGTAAAATAATGAATATTTGAAATATCCATGGCCGAGAATGCTCCCACTTGGATGTAGAAGCTGTATAGAATTTTTTTCCTTCCTTATTCATTGTTAGTACTAAGACTTCCTTGGTTTAGCTTTTGAAAGAGGAGATGGAGGAGACAATGATTTCTTATACCAGGTCCCACTAATCCAAATGCTTCCTACTGGAGCTAACACATAGCACTCTTTCATTCCTTTATCCTTTTTTCTGTTGGAATCATTTCCAACCCAGCACACATGTTCAAGCAAAGCTCAATAGATAGCATCATCCATGAACAACTAAAGGAGACTCAAAAGATTTATCATGCAATAGGTTGAAGCTAATCCCCCAGGATATGCTGTATTCTCACATCCCACTTGCCTACAAAAATGGGAGTTTCAAACATCTTAGAATCAACCTTCGTCCTCTGATGTTGAGCTTCTCAGATAAAGACTGGGTGAATTATCACCAAGCTATTTTGTGGGTGCAGGCCCAAAGTCATTGTGCATGTTTGAAGAATAGGTCCTATTAGGAGAAGGTGGTTTCTTAGGAGTAAAGCTTGTTTGCAATCATCCTTATTCTGAATTTCTCCATAATTAACAGTTGGAGTATGAACAAAGTGCCAGCGTATCTCTGACTTTTAAGTTTTCAGTTTTAATAGACCAATGCAGAAGCAACATCTTGATATAAATACCTCATCAGGCTAATGGGTTTTTTTGTTTCTTTTTTGTTTTGTTTTTTTAATGATGTTACTGGGTTAGATTTGGACTTTGTTTTCAAATCTGGTCCTTGTCTACTGCTTATAGCTTCTTCCGCTTTATGCATATGCTGTATACTAACGGCTGACTCTGCTGTGAGGTTAGTGTTCTTGTTCAGAAGCAATTTGGGTAGAATTCTTGACGCTGAAGTCCAGACATCTTAAAGTTACCAAAGTTGAGAACCACTGCCCTAGTCAAAGCCAACATAGAAAAGAGGAATCCATAGACAGCTGAGTCAAGAATTATTATACTACCAAATGAGAAGTACAATCAGGAATCTGATGCAAAACTAAACCTGATGTTGAAAACTTGTGTGTGCCACGTGAGGTAGAAAAGGCCAAGAAACAGATTTGCAAAAAATTCCAGCTTGAAAACCTATCAAACTTTCTATTCCTTCTTGTACTGAACAAAACCAAGGCATTCTGATTTTTCTAAGTAATCTTTTTTCTGAAACTCCTCCCTTTGCTGTTTAATAATGCATCCCTACTTCTAAGACAGGTGTTCATTTTTTTTTTCCATAGAATTTCCATAGATGTCTTCCTGGAATTGATTCTTCCTGCAGAGTCATGCAATTTCTCCTCCACTGTGTTTTACCAGTGATACATGGGGCTGTGGAAAAGATTTTAGGTTAGGGATGTAACTATTTTGCCTTTTTCTTTTTTAAATCTCACACTTTGGAGGGGGGGGGGATAACGGTGTATTAAGAATTTCAGTCTGTGCAGCTGGAGCTCTCCAAGGTACTGAAATTCAGTTTGTTTCAGGATCAGCTAAACCAGGGGATCTTCAAACTTGGCCCTTTTATGACTTGTGGACTTCAACTCCCAGAATTCCTCAGCCAGGGTGCCTGGCTGAGGAATTCTGGGAGTTGAAGTCCACAAGTCATAAAAGGGCCAAGTCTGAAGACCCCTGAGATAAACTCTTACCAATAGAGATAGTCCACAATTGAGCTCAAAATTTCCATTGCTAAATTAGACAGTTGTTCAGTGAGTTTTGCCCCATTTTACGACCTTTCTTGCCACAGTTGTTAAGTGAATCACTGCAGATGTTGTTAGTAACACAGTTGTTAAATGAATCTGGATTCCCCATT